TGTTGGTGGAAGTGTAAAATGGTGCAACCACTGTGGATGGTGGTGTGGCACTTTCTCAGAAAAATGCAAACACAAATACCATTTGACCCAGCAATTCCACTACTTGGAATATACTCCAAAGAAACGATAATCGCCACCCAAGCAGATATATGCACACCCATGTTTACCGTGGCTTTGTTCACAATAGCAAGGAGTTGGAAACAACCTAAGTGCCCATCAACAAATGAATGGATAGAGAAGCTATGCTATATTCACACAATGGAATACTACACTGCATTGAAAAACAAGGAACTCATGCAGTATTATTCAAAATAGGTGACTCTGGAGGACATTATGCTGAGTGAAGTATCTAAGTTACAAAAGGACAAATACTGCATGGTGCCACTATTGTAAAACAGGACTGACATCCGGGTTGGTGGGAGACTGAGAAAGATGGGTTTAATAATTGAAACAGATGAGGGAGAAAACTGTTTTAAAGGGATATGTGATTAGGTATTTTTGTCATGACAGGAGTCCAGAGGGAAACCTGCACAATGGAGTGGACCTGGGCAGAGGGATTGTAAAACAATGAAATAATTTTTCTTTTACTTTTCAAAGGGGGGGTGAGTGAAACAATGAATTAAAGAAAATCCAAATTATTTGTAAATTTTCATTAATAATAATTTTAAGTACCATCCTATCTAAATAAAAGCAAGGTTTACTTATTTAAAAAAAAAAAAGGAATAGAGACAGGATACATCCCTGACCCGCTCCCTTCCTTATTCTGAACAATGCTGTTTTCTTGCTGTTCTGACCACTGCTTCCTTGTCTGTCTATACATTTTGCATGAGCACAATCAAGTGTTCTGGGATTTCCATTCTCAAGGTTAGCCACAAATTGTTTTGATCCACAATCAATAAAACACAAATAGACATTCTTCTGGTACTCTTTGCTTCCACTGACAATGAAATCCCTAGTGCCATGGCCTCTCTGCCAACTTACTGTTTCCAGTAGTTTTTGTATAATCTTTAGCAGGATTTTGCTTGTGTGTGATATCGGTGATACTGTTTGATAATTTCCACTTTGTGGGATCACCCTTTTTTGGCAATCAGAATAAATAAGAATTTCTACACCAGCTGGTTAGCCAGGTAGCTTTCCTCCAGATTTCTTCGCACAACCCTAGTGAGCACATCGAGGGTAGCATCTGGTTGCTGAAATATGTCAACTGGTATTCTATGCATTCCTGAGGCCATGGTTTTTTTAGATTCCTTCAGAGTAGCCTAAAACTTCCTTCTTTTTCACAACTGTCTCTTGGTCATGCTTTTTGGTACAGTGATCCTGTGTATTCCATCTTTTTTCATGATGCTTTCTGAATCATACAATATTTTGCCCATAGCATCTTTAAATATTACAACTTGAGGCTTGAATTTGTTCTTCAGCTTAAGAAACAGGGAGTTTCTTTCTTTTGATTTTGTCTCCAGTTCTTTGTACATTTCACTTACTATTTTTGCTTTGTCTTCAGAGCTGCCCTTTGAATGTTTTTGTTCATTCAGCTACTCAGCTTCTTGATTCTGTCCCGTTGCTTTGGCTTCTCAATGTGCTCATTCAATATTCAAAATCTCTTCTGACATCCATCTCAGTCTTCTTTCTCCTCTGGCTTTGTAATCACATTTTGCATTCTTCATGGATGATATTCTTGATATCCTTCTATAGCTTCTCTGGTCTTCGTTCATTAGTATTCAGGGCCTAAAACCAGTTATTGAGATGGCTTTTAAATCAGAGCGGACAGACTCAAATTTTGGTTCTCACTGATTTAATTTTCTATCATGGTTTCACAATCAGTACCTGTCCCTTTCACAGCTGATACTGAGCTTCTCCTAGGATTCTTTTCTTTCACAGATTGGTTTATCAAGTGAGATCCATGTGTATAGTCAATCTTTTTGTTTTTTTATAAAACGTATTTGTAGTGAATAAATCACTGATTGTACAAAATTCTATCAGTCTCTCTAGAAATGTATACATGTCCCAAAAAATCATATACAAGAATGCACACAATAACATTATAACAGTGGAGGAGAAGTAATAGTAAGGCTAAATTGTACTACAGAAAAAGACATTGAAAGTTTAACAAACTGGTTACAAGCAACCTTGGGAAAAAGAAAACATTTTAAAAAATGCAGACCCAAGAATTCATGCTCTATGGTTCCATTTAGAGAAAGCTCAAAACCAAGTAACATTTATCTATGTTCACAGAGAAATGTAGTTACTTTCAGGGAAAGGAATAATAAATGAGCAGTGATAAGTTTTTTCTTCCTAAAAAAGATCTTAAGCTAAAGTAACATGTAACTTCTCAAGACTAAAAATCATTTAGTGTCTGGCTCCTGCTTAATTTTTTGAATCTCAGCTCTATCAGCTAATTTTGTCAGTATTATTATGTTGTTTTCTTTATACAACTGTATAAAGACCTCAAATGCCTTTCTAATTTTCTTTTACAGAAGAACTATCAAAGAAATCTAGGATACTTCGTCTTTGACTTTCCACTATTACCCTATTGCTGGAAGTGTCTTCTCTACACCCAAAACTATTACTTTCTATGTCCTATGTCTACCTTGTGGATCCTCACTATTTACAGATATGTATTTGTGAATTTACTTTCTACAATTTAATTGTAAACCCCAAATCAGTATTTACAATCATGCAAGGACATGGACATGTAGAGTGGGGAAATGTACACATCCCCAGGTGAAGTCAAGCTGATACCTCTGCTTCTGGTTTCAGTTATGAACATTTCTACTACTATACTTAAACCTCACTGGCATTTCACCAGTGTCTGATCTCTGTTGCCATAAATCTATCGTTGTTATGTTATGTTATGTTATGATATGTTATGTTGTTATGTTATGTTATGTTATGTTATGTTATTATCAAGTCAGAACTGACTCACAGTTGACTCTCCAGAGGCAGTAAATCCCAGGAGAACAAACTGTCCATTTTTTACCACAGCAAAGCTGGTGGATTCAAACTGCATGACTTTGGGTTGACAGCGCCAATTCCTTAGCATTAAACCATTCCTAGCAATATTACAATGTATTTGCTTTTCACTCACTAAGTAATTTTAAAATCTTTAATTACATGAGTTAATGGTCTTTCATCATACTTAGAAAGCCTAAACTTTTCATCATAGTTTTTAAGGATCTCTAAAATTGCCTACTAGCATTTGTGCCTACTGGTATAAACTATTAATTTTACCTCTCTCTTCCCCATCCACAATCAAGTCCAGCTGATCTTTTTATTCCTTGGATACTAGTTTCAAATTCTCTACACAGAATGATGTTATTCTATCTACAGTATTCTTCTAGGCTTTTCTGTATCTATTCAATTATTCAAATCTAAGATTGTGAGCAGTTCAAAAGGGCTTTCCTGATCATATTTAACAGTTTAGTAATTACAATGTTAACCTGCTTAATTTTTCTCTCTGAATAATATCTTATATTTTATCCTTCCTTTCCATGCTAGAATATTATCTCCTTAAGAATGGGAACTGTTTGCTTTATTAGAAAGTAGACCAAGAACTCCCTAAAACAACGTAGGGCACATAGTAAGTGCTCAATGTTAGGTAAATTTAGAATTGCTTGCCTCTATTGTAGGTTTTTCTATCAGATATGGAGCTCTGCTACAGATAAAATTTTGATTAAAAGCTCTAGTCCATAAACAGTCAAAGAATAACAAGTACCCAACTGTTTGCTGCATTAAGCCAGTGAATTGCACTCGTATTTGTCCAAAACAAAAAAAAAACTCACTTCTATGACACAATTCAAATTTTACAATGGTACCTTTGAACAGCCTCCATTTTTACATGAGGTCCCAATCTTAATTTCACCACTTTCTTCTTCTGAAGCAAAGAAACAAACAAACAAAATCCATTTAAAACATTAAAATAAAACATTTTCTTGCAGTCTCATTCTTAAAAAGTAATCTTCTATGTAAGTCTTTAAAAAGGAGTCTAAACATTTATACAATACCTGACATTTTAAATTTTACACAAGTTTTATGTGTGAATTTTCCGATATTTTTAAAACATCACAGGAAACTATTTTAACTAAGTTTTATTTATATAACACACTTGACAAGACGAACAGGTATTCTATAATACAAAAGACATTAAATATAGAATGTAATAAAAGAAACAGGAATAGGGTATTTTTCTTCTATAATATTGAGTATAAGTCAGAAAATACTAAAGACATTTTATATTAGGCACACAGTGAAATATTTGCAATTATCAAAGAAGCAATCTAAATGAAGTTTCATTAAGAAATAATGGAGACAGAAGAAAAATAAGTCTTCAAAAACTGCAATAAATGAGATAATGGGATGATCCATACATTCATTTTGTGGTATTATTACCAACTGGGTGGAAGTCTTCTTTTACAATGTACTACTTTTTATACTTCTATTCAGGAAATTACTCTGTTCTGTCACTTTTAAATGACTGGTTAATTATATTGAAATATATTCCAAAAAAAGAGTAAAAAATAGTTATTACCTTTCTTTTCTTCTGTTCCTGGTGTCAATTTAAGTTTATCAAGTGCTTGTTTGAGGGAGGCAGATATTTTTATTTCCAAATTTGTCATTGGTTCATCTGGGCTAGAGAATTTAAAAATCTCAATTATCATTATTAATTTACCAAAATACTTCTTTGTACTCAGAATATAGATGCACTCAAATGGATTCCATGACAAAGACAATTCCTCTATAGAAGTCCAGTATGTAATCGGAAAAAACAAATAAACATCAAAGCACAAAGAAGATGTGCAACTTCTCCTTCCTGAATTATGATGGTAAAAGAAATAATTCTGTAATGACGCTTTGCTATGCACATGCTCTCAACATGGAATAAAAACTAAAAGCAAATAAAGAACAAAAAAGGGTCCAAACCTTTGCAGCCTATATAATAGCTAAGAATGATACAAAATCATTCTGAACAAACGCTTTTATTCCAAGTGTGATACAAATATGTAACTATTAAGTTTACCTTGGTCTTTTAATGGCTTCTACTGGCTTAGGGGCTTGAATGATGTGTTCTTGAAATTTGGGTTTCAATTCAGATAATTCTTTCTTCTCAGTGGTCTTGACTTCAGGTTTTACTGGCTCAGGAGGTTTCTCATTATTATGTCTCCCCTTTGTACAGCCCTGTTAGTGAAAAGTATTAAGAATTATTCTATCGTAGATTTTGCATGCTATTAACACCTTCAGATATTTACTATCAAATTCTGCTATTATTTCTACTTTTATCACATTGATTTATTTTACAAATTAAAAATATGACTCCAAGTGTGCTATATAGCAAATTCCCACTTACTGATGTGGCAAAGTTTCAAAGATCAGGTTGCTATGGGAAAATAAGAGAACTAGCACATCGCCTCTTCACTTCACCTATACTATGAATGTCCTGTTGGGAATCCTTCTTGGGTTACCTATTATGGTCATCTTCTCTTCTATGTCACCTATGAAGAGCTCTAATCCCTTCACTGCTCCCAGGGGAATGTGTCAGAGCCAGGAAGGCTCAAGTTTCAGTGCCCATCACTGGGGTTTCTTACTTCTCCAGCTCTGGTTTGTTTTGGTTTTTTTTTTTTCAGGATAAGTAGCCTGATGGCTTTGTAGAGAGCAACAGACAAAGAGCCTTAATGACAGAGGAGGTGGGGTGCCTTGCCTGAATATGCCCTGGTTATTACTGGGTGGTCTCTCCGCCTTTCTACTCCCATGTGTAACAACAATCCAGAGCTTCCTGAGCTGCTGTGGTTTCTATCCTTGATCTCCAACTGTAGCTGCCATTGGGCACTCATCAGTTGAACTCACGAAAAAGGTACACTGAATATGAGTGTTAAGTCAGCTGACATGGGATTCTGTACACTTCCAACCCCCCAGGCAGCCAAGAAAGCCCTCATCAAGGATCTTTTAGACCACAGCCCTTGCCACCTTTGGGATTCTTCTTCCCTCTGGGTACTGGGGCCATCCCACCATGACAATGAACTGCTGCTGCTCCAACCTTTAGGCACAAACCACGTCCCAAGCGGCCACATGCCTCACCCCTTTTCACGTCTCCCAGGCAATGAAATGCCACTCAATACAAGTGTCCTTTCCACATGTACATGATCTTCAGGACTCCAACATGGCCCATGGTGTTATAGTCAGATATCCATTGTTAACGTACAAAACAGATTTTTTTTATTATCATCATAAATTTAAAAATATCAGGTAGTAAGTTAGTTGGTGAGGAGGTGACATGCTGGTTAACTAATTTTCACTCTCAGCAAAAACAGAAACTTTCAATGATAAGACAGGTGGTGGTAGGTTGTACTCAAGCTCAATTAGTTAAAATAAAAAGTAAGACATCCATCCCACACTGAAGGCCGAGGGCAAATACAAATTCTGGAGTACTTCACAAAGAAAATTCTGTAATTTATAAACAAAAAAGGTTTTCATTCAAAAGAACTCCAGTTCTCCTAACTTGATAAATGACCTTGATAAGATAATCTTTTTTATCTTTTCTAGCTTCCAAATGAGCAACATGGAAATAAAGTACTGTCACTATTTTCTGGAGAATATTAAATCAAATAATACATACAGTATTACAGATAATGCATTTGGTGTTGGGTTGCCACCCAAAAGGTTGGTGGTTTGAATACACTTGCCATTTTGTGAGAAAAAGAACAAATTTGCTCCCATTAGATTTAGAGGTTCAGAAAGCAAATGGCAGGTCATCATAAGTTATTACCAACTTGATGGCAGTGCACAGTACTACTAACAGGCAGTAAATATTCAAAGCACGTTAACTACTCTTACACATATTCCACTGAATCACATACACATTTTCTCATCTCTATTAGCAGCTTTACTTTTCTTTGTACCCTAATATGACAAATTTGATATAAAATTTGCTACTCTAACTTAATGTCTTAAACCAGTGCCTATCACTGCTTTCTTTTTGATGTTCTTTCAAGACTAACATAAAAAACAAATCTGATTAGACAAAACCCTAATCTAAAAAAAAAAAATCACATCAAGTCTTTATTTTTTTAAAATTAATCTGCCCACCCCCTTCCCCCACAATTCACTTTTCTCCTTGATAACTAAAAGAAAAACTTTTTCATTTCTATGCAATCTCTCCCCTCAAGTCCAGTGCACTGTGCAGCCATCATTCTGGACTCCTGTCATGACAATAATACCTAATCATATATCCCTTTTAAACAGTTCTCTCCCTCATCTGTTGCAATGCAGTATACATCATTCCTCCCCTTCTTCTCTGTCTTCACTCAAACTCAGTGTCAATCCTGTTTTACAATAGTGGCCCTACGCAATATTTGTCCTTTTATGGCTGAGATATTTCACTCAGCATAATGTCCTCTAGGGTCATCCACTTTGTGTATTCCATGAGTTCCCTGTTTTTCAGTACTGCATGGTATTCCATTGTATGAATATACCAGAGCTTCTCTATCCATCCATTCATTTGCTGAAGGGCACTTGGGTTGTTTCTAGCTCTTTGCTATTGCAAACAAAGCTGCAATAAACATGGGTGTGCATATCGAGTCCTTATTTTGACAACAAGAGTTTCATTTTTAAAAGAAAGGTGGTATTTCTAAGGTACACGTTCAGATATCAAATGTCTTAAATACGAAACATATATCAAATGTCTTAAATACGAAGCATATATATATATGTATGTATATGTATGTATATGCACACACACACACACACACTCTCTCTCTCTCAGGGAAATACCTTAGATAGAAAAGTAATACTTACTACAATGCTTAAGAAATCAGAAAAATCAGTTGTTCTTCTCTTACAGCAAGACCAACCCTATGAAATATAAAAGGAAAAAAAAATAAAACCACTTTAGTATGGAAACCATAATAAATATATTGTAGTTTCACTGACCTCACTGAAAACCAAAGTAGCTTGGATCTATGTATTTTTCTTAGTTTTAAGGAGTTGTAAATGGTACACTTATATTTAACTATCATGAGAAGCGTTGTTTTTCTATTTACTTTTTAAAAATATTTGTGTCATGTCTCAACAGAATCCATTTTAAAGTAGAGAAACAATAAAACAATAAAAGAATTTGTTCTCTTTTATCAATAGTACCTGTTTTTTGGAAGAATTTTACAATTTAAAAAAAAAACCAAAAACAACAACAACAAAAAAAACAAAACACCAAAACCCAAAAAAACCCCAACCAAAAATCAACAACAAAAACCCCACCAAACAAACCAAAAAAAAAAAAAACCAACACGTATTTTAAAGACTGAAAATTAACTCTAGACCTTGACTTTAAATATCTAGGTAGTCAAAAAATCCATTAAGTAAAAAAGCAAGAAAGTTTCTGTATTGGTGACAAGGATTCTTCCCCCTTTTGAAGCTAGTAGAAGTGACATTCTACAGTGGGTCCACTTAACTATTGCACTGCCAAGGCTTAATAAAATAAGGAAAGGAGGGACACATTTAAGTATGTGAGTTTAAAGCTGATGGCTTCTCATGAGAAAAAATCCACAAACATACTCAACCCTATCTCACTGTCTTTTTTTCCGAATATAAACCATTTTATAATTAAAAGATCTTTCTGATCATGAAAAGTATTCTGATGGCATAGTGGTTAGTGTTCAGCTGTTGTAAGAAAGGTTAAGTATTTGAATCTACCAAATTCTAACAGGAAAATATGGCTGTTTCATGAAGATTACAATCTTGGGAAATTTACAGCACAACTTTCTCTGTCTCATAGAGTCACTCTGAGAATCAATAGCAACATGTTTTTGAGGTTCTGTTAATTTAATGTTTAACTTCTTAGTCAAAAAGAATGCTATCATCTTTACAATAATTCTATTTTGTCTTAAAAGCCACCAAGTTCTGAAAAACAATCTATTTGGAAAGTCTAAGTCTTCAAGTAATGTCTATAGACACTAAATAATAAACAGAAAGTGGAGAAGAAACAAACAGTACTTAATAGTGAAATCTTTAAGAAGCGACTGATGGCAGCATAAGAGTAAAGGATTTTATTACTAGAAGGTTAATGGTTATCATTACTAAGAATAGCAAGATTGTGAAAGAATACATTTTCAGAGTAAGAGTTCCCTTTAGAAATTGACCTAGATTCTCCCTGAGGAGAGTCATCAGTATAAAGGTGGCATTTAAGGACACAAATACAGGTGTATAATATCTAAGGTCCATGGCATACTCTGTGAAATAGAATGCTGTGTGATTTGGTGTTGTATAAATACTTTTAAAATCTTAATGGAAACTTTGTTCCACTTATTTGAACAGCAGGAGCAGCTGTCAATGCTGCCAGCCTGCAAAACCCTGAGAGTTGTGTCCTAAGCCATGTCTTCTTATGCCTGACTTGCCTGTATCCTTATGCCTAATCTACCCATTAGCCACTGTTGCAAAATCAGCTGATGAGTCTGTCTTCAATCTTCAAGCCATATTCTTCATATAGTTCAGTTTTTCAGATTATTTACTCAGCATACAGACTAAATAAGTATTGCACAAAGATGCAACCTTGAAGAAAGCATCTTCTGATATTAAACTACGTAGTACATACTTGCTGTGTTTGAAGGATACCTCTTGATCGATGTATAGGTTCTGTATGAGCACAGTGTGTTCTGGAATTCCCTTTCTTCACAATGTTTAATTTGTTATGACCACACAACTCTAAGAGGGTTGAGCAAAGCACTGTATGACTAGACAGTTAATGGTTATTACAGGCTGTGAAATAAAAGTATTTTGGGCCATCTTTGCACAGTGACCAAAACACAGGCATTATTGTCTGGTATTCTCTGCTTTCGGCCAAATCCATCTGATAGCAGCAATGACATCCCTCATTCTACATCTCTGCTGTATCTGGTTTGTCTGCTGATGGTTTCAAATTATCTTCAGCGCAATTCTGCTCGAATGTTTTATTTATGATATTGTTATATAACTTCTACACTCCGTTTTATCAGCTTTCTTGAGAATGTGCATGAATATGGATCTCTTCCAATTATAAAGATTACAGCCAAGGAAACACTATGGGTTAATTCTATTGACCTACAGGGTCACTGTGAATTGGAGTCAAATTAATGGCATAAAGCAAGAAAAGTCAGGCCTTATTTGGGCTTAATGAATATTTGTTTTGTCTTCTTCACTCTGAACTAATATTGCTGTTGTACCATCAAGCTGGAACTAACCCATAACTGATCCTCAAGTAAGTTTTCAGAAGCAGTTTAATTGCATAAGACAAAATTGTTCATCTTTCTCCCACAGAGCAGCTGGCGGATTTTAAACCACATGCCTTTGGAATGGCAGCACAGCTTCTTAAACTCTAGGCCACCACAGTTCTATACACTTAACTATCAAAAGTATCCCACATTAAACATCAAAATGGTCAAACTACTCTGTGGAAGATACATTACAAATTTTAAAATATGTACAAATATTTACTAGGTTAAAAGTGCTTATGTTCCTGAGAGTAATAATGATAACATGACAGTCTCACTTTAATGTTTTCTACTGGGATACACACCAAAAAACCCTCTCAAGATGTCTTTTACTATAATAAAATTTTTAAAAAGATCAATAAAGCCAAATACTGTAAAAGTCTGGTCAAATAATTTTCATTATCTCTCTAGCATATAAAAGTGCAGGGTGAAATCTGTGAGCATCTCTTTTTTTCTAAAGATAGATTCCAAAGACATACATTATCTTCTCTAAAATTCTGAGCCACTGTTATTTGCAAACAACTGCACAACCAATTGAGAAATTATATAAAGATTCCGTATAGTGCTTTCTACATCCCCCTCAAAATTAGAAGAGTGAAAAAAGAGATTACAAATGAGAACTAGGATAGAAATGGCATACTATAACTATAAAAGAGTTTAAGATCAATTACTATTTCTGAGCTTTCTGTGAAGGATGAACTTAAAGCATTCCACACTGATTATGAGGAAAGCATAAAGCCACAAAATGGGCAAAAGAAAAAAGACAAACGTAGTATTTTAACCTTTCAATCTATTATACAGATGTGAAGAGATAGAAAATGCATACTAAGTTCCTACCTTCAATGCATCATGAAACACTGGAACCCCTGGATGATAAGTGCAAGCATCTGGTCAAAAACAAGGAAGGAAAAACTAATTATCACTGTTATCAAAAAAGATTAATGTATACACAATGCTATACCTTTGTGTGCTAACATTTTACTTCTTTTCCAAATTCAAGTTAATACATTTCTCATTTTTAAAAAATTATCAATAATCATGTGTGATGAACAATTGAATTTATCTTTAAATATGACTTTTACTAGCCATCTATCTGAATCTGATCAACCACATGGATGGGCAAATTCAACCACATGAATGGGAGTGTTAGCCTATGCACAAGGGGACTGGCTGTTTCATTATTCTACATTTTTGTTGTTGTTATGTGCCATCAACGTACAAGAGCCCTAAATGCCATTCTATCCTGTGCCAACCTCGTTGTCTCAAACACACTCATTCCCACCACTCCACTCACAGAATCAATCGATCTCATCGAGGGTCTTCCTCTCCTGCACCATCCCTCCACTCTCCCAAACATGATGTCCCTCTCCAAGGACTGGTCCCTCCTTGCAACAGACCCAAAGTATGTCAGACGAAGCTTCAGAATACTTGACTCCAAGGAATATTCTGGCTTCACCCTCTCCAGGACAAACCTGTTTGTTCTCCTAGCAGACCGTGGTATATTCAACACTCTTCTCCAGCACCACAGCTCAAAGGCATCAATTCTTTTTCTATTATCCCTATTCACTGACCAACTCTCCGATGCACAGCACGTAATTGCAAAGACTAATAGCCTAGATCAGGCGCACCTTAGTCTCCAGCCTGATGTTGTTGCTCTTTAGTATCCTTGAGAGGTCCCTCATAACTGACTTTCCCAATGCAATTCGTCTCTTGATTTCCTGGCTCCTGTTACCAAGAGTGTTGACTGTGGAGCCAAGTAAACTAAAACTGTTAACTATCTCAATCTCTTCACCATCCATACTGATGCTGCCAACTGGCCCAGTGGTGAAAATCTTTGTTTTCTTGATGCTGAGCTTCAATTCATATCGAAGACTGCAGTCCTTGCCTTTCTGCATAGGGACTGGATAATCTCAACAATGTGCAAGGACGCTGGCTAGTTTTGCTACTAACTGAGCATCTCTAGGCACAGGGACAGGTGCCAATGAAGAGAAAGCAAGACAAGGTAGGATGCCCATCCTGTTCTAGCTACACCTATGGCAGAAACACCTGTGGCTAAGCTGGAGATTCGATGTGAGATATGATCTGGGGATGGAAGGGAGCCAAAATTAGGACTGAGAACTCTGGTGGACAACTGTGAGTGGGAAGCTAATACTGGTAGGACTGAAAACTTGGGAATCACTGGCCTGAAGACGCAAGGCTCAAGGCTTATGTGCCTGTGTGCACACTTCAACAGCTGTCTTGACTGTATTCTCTGTTCATAATCTGGATTATAATCGTTTGGACTTCCAGAAAAAGGTTCTATGTGGTCTGTGAGCTATCACATTGGGTTCTGGACCCATTAAAACAGTAAGATTGGTGTTGAGATGAGTAGAAAAAGGTATGTGAGCATGGGGAACATGTAGGACCTCATGAGAGCTGGTCAGATGTTACTTTTAATGTTACTGATGAGGGACACTGCCCCTCTGTGAAGCTGTTAAAGGTCAGATATGGCTATTCCCACATGGCCCTTGCTCTTTTTACAGTAATACACAATGCATAATATAACATGTCAAAATAATATGAAAACCCACAGCAAACAAGTCAATTATAAATAAAGCAACCCTATGGGAAAAAAGCAGAACTAGCCTAAATGGTTTCACAGGCTGTAATCTTTAAGGAGCCCTGGCTAACTGAGGGGTTAACAGATCAAATTCACCAGCTGCTCTGGAGAATGATGTGGCCGTTTGCTTCTTCAAAGACCACAGCCTAGGAAATCCTACAAGCAGGAAATACTCTGACAGGAAAGTCTTTGGTTTTTTAAATCTTCATAAAAAGCAGAACAGCTCCTGGGTTAAAATTAGTTTTTGAGTTAGCAGCTAAGTGCTTTAATCATGACATTATCAGGGCAACATCTTGTTCACACTCACTGATTCATGGCCATAGAGTTGATTATCAACTCAGAGTGAGTCTCCATAGGCTTCAAAGGTTGTAAACCTCAATGAGAGGATACTGCCTATCTTTCTCCCATAGAACCATTTTTTTGCCAGCAGTCGAAACTGCTACAGATCATTTGCCATCAGAGCTCCTGCCTTCTTGTTAAAATAGTAAAAAACACTAAATTCTAATTTAAGAGTATAATGGTTATGAACAAAAATAATAAAGAATAACTCAAGCATAGCAAACTATACTTAAAACTTTTTTAGTAAATTGTGTTTAATATAAAAACGGATTTGGCCCTCTTATTTTTGAACTCTACTTTTAAAAAAATGTGCCTATTCTTATGTCAACTATTTATAAGCTGCCTCCCAAGAGAATTCTTAAAGATATTTCGGAAGACTAACTTTAAAGTAATTTGTAGATCTCAGTCACTGATCATTAAAATATGATATATAATGTCTTGTGGAACACCTCATTATGCCAACTGACTTTGATATGCCAAATTAAGGCTCTACAACTAGCAACTCACTCTTTTAGGCTATTAGGTTAAACTGTAGTAGGAGTTTAGGTAACTTTGTCTTCTGCTGACCCAAAAAGAAAATAGAAACAAAACAAACTCATTGCTACTAAACCAGAACCAATTTGTCTGATACTCCATTGGGTTTCCGGAGCTGTTAACAGCACAGGAGTTTGTCCATCTTTTTCCTATGGAGTCAACAGTGAATTCAAGTCACTGCATTTGAATTAATAGAGCAAGCTCATAGAGAGTACACCACCAGAACTCCCTCTACTACTGGTATGTGCTGTCGACTGTAACTCACAGCAACCCTATGAACATCAGATCTGAACTCTGCCTTATACTGTACCATCCTCACAACCAAAATCTTGATATACTCAAATCCATTGGTACAGTTACTGTGTCAATCCATCTTGTTGAGGGTTGTATTTCTCCATCTTCAATCTTCAGAAGGTTTTTTTTTTTTTACAAAGACTCACTCCTCCTGGCAACATGCCTAAAGGACATAAGACAAAGTTTCACCATCCTTGCTTCTAAGGATGGCACTTCTTCCAAGATCTAATTTTTCTCTTTTGGAAGCCTATGGAATATTCAGTATTCTTCTTTAACATAATTCGAAGGCATCAATTCTTCCTATCAACCTCATTCACTATCCAACATTCAACTGCATACGAAGAAACTGAAAATATCACCATTTACACTGGGTGCATGGATACATTTAAAACATGTATTAATATGAATGCTCTAGAACTTGATATTCATCTTGGTCTTTTCTTCATCCTGTCTTTGTAAGGTTTCTTTTTGCATTATTCATGGATGATATTCTTATATCCTCCCACAGATCATCTGGTCTTTACTCAGTATTTAAGGCCTCAAATCTGTTCCTAAGATGGGTCTTTAAATTGATAGGATAGACTTGAGGTCAAACTTTTGCTCTTGTAGATGTGATTCACTCTGATTTTCATTAACTTCAGTTTGAACCTGCATATGAGTAGTTGATGGTCTGTTTCAAAATCAATACCTGGCCTAGTTTTCACAGCAGAGATTGAGCTTTTCCAGGGATTTTTTCCCCCACAGATGTAATCACTATTTAACATCATTTCCACAATATAATGGCTGGAAGAGTGGAGAGATAGTGCAGGAAAGGAAGACTCAGGTTACAGATGGATTGACTGAGTAACTAAAGAAATGGGATTAGGTCTGTTCCAAGACGATGAAATTGGCTCAGGATAGAGCAGAGTTCAGAGCCATTATACAGAGGGTCACTATGAGTTGCAGGCGACTTGACTGAACCTAAAAGCAACAATTCTGAATGCTCAGGAGCTCTGGTGGGTAGGGAGTTGCATTGTTAACCCAAATGTGGTGCCTCTCTGGCAGTTGATTTGTTATGTCAACTCTAACTCATAGTGACCCTATGAACAAATTCGAGCCCTGAGTGACTGACTGTGAACTAAAGAAATATTTATCTGACAAACAACAATTTGGTCATAGGTATAGTTCCTTTCACAGGCCCATTATCTGTTTTTCTTGACTCTCCATATAACCAGCTGCAGATTAAAGTTTATTATTATTAATAATACAAGATTAAAAAGATATTTACCTTTGTTGACTTTCTTTCTTGTGAGACTGTCTTCCCTTTAATGATTCTGTGTTACGTGTCCCCTTACTGTCTACTGCCTTTCCCTTTACCTATTTTAATATGTCTACTATGTATTTATGGAGCTCTGGTGGCTTAGAGGTAAAAAGCTGCACTGTAGTCCCAAAAGTAACTATAACTCCTCCTATGCAACTTAATACTTTTGAAAGCTGTTAGAAAGTCAGCTATGATTCAGTTCCAACTTGACAGTACACAACAATGGCATTACCTATTTGTTACTGGTCTCTCCTTAACCAGAGAAGAAATGCAGGAAAAAATGCAGAGATGCATGGAAACAAATGGTCCAAATGACTGATGGACCATGACTCATGAATCCCTAAGATGTGGATAGTCCCCAGTTCCCACTGTTAACTACTTTAAAAGTGATCACAGTAGGTGATCCAGATGGCATGGCAAGGTAAGAGAACACTAATGTGTCACATACTGTGACCCCTGTTATGTGTTGTCGATTCCAACTCATAGGAATCCTACTATGTACAAAAACTCTGAACCCTGATCTATCGTGGGCCAATGTTATTGTTTCTGACACACCTACCCCGTCCCCCAAATCACCCCAGGCACTGAGTCAATCCATTTCATTGAGGGTCTTTTCCTCTTGGGCTGTCCCTCTACCATTCCAAACATGATGTCCCTCTCCAAGAACTGTTCCCTCCTTGGAACATGCCCAAACTCTGTCAAACATAGCTTCAAAATCCTTGCCTCCAAGGAGCAGTCTGGTTTCACCCTCTCCAGGACAGACCTGTTCTCTTAGAAGTCCATGATATATTCAGTACTCTTCTCCAGCACCACAGCTCAAA